CGATAACACGCAAAAGGTGAAACACTAGAGTCTCTCAAATACCAGCACATTACTTCCTCTTTCCCACCATACGGTAGCACGCACACGGTAATCAGCAATGCAATTATTAAATTAAATAATTAATCCTCAGTTTATTTCATTGCATCAACCGGCACGCGTGAAAATACCATGCTGGCGTGCATGCGCGTACGCATGAGAGAGTGGAAGAAATGGAAAGAGCACTTTTTGCGATAAATACCGCAATACTAATAGGAAACGTCAGTCAGAAAAAAAAAAAATTATATCCACAGCACCTTCGCATGAACTTCGTTCGCAACATATCCGCGGTGGTGCGGCTTCACTGCGCAACCTACGCGCTGCCCTGAGAAGCGAACACGCGGACTTTAGGGCTTTACAGAGAAGCTCGCCGGCAATTTTTCTTCGAAGCAAGGTACAAATCCCTAGGCGCGCTTATGTCATGTGCTTTCCTCTTCACTGGTGTGTGTCGACCCTCTGATACACAAAAAGTACTTGATATTTCAAGTTTTTAAATGTCGACTGGCTTTCGCGTTTCATCATCGCAAAAAGAAAGTGCTGCTAGCCGCCGCTGTATTTTCGGCACTTCCTTGTTCTACGCTCAAAAATGCGGCGAGCAATTTTTCTTTTTCTTTTGACACAGCTTTCTGACAATTTAGTCTTTCCCTGCAGCAAAGTAAGGTAAAAGGTCATTGACGAAAAAAGAAAAAAAGACAGCTGCGTCGCTGTTTTCTTGCAAGTTCGCGTAAGTGCTGCTAGCCGCCGCTGTATTTTCGGCACTTCCTTGTTCTACGCTCAAAAATGCAGCGAGCAATTTTTCTTTTGACAAAGCTTTCTGATAATTTAGTCTTTCCCAGCAGCAAAGTAAGGTAAAAGGTCATTGACAAAAAAGAAAAAAAAAACTACAGATGCGTCGCTGTTTACTTGCAAGTGCGCGCGAAATGTCGTTACCATGGTGACTGCAGTACTGCTCATTTATATAGTATGGCATGAGCCCTCTCCTTATCTCTGTCTAGTTTGTATGGTGAACAAGCTCTTCCCTATCGCAAATACCTATAATAGTTACCTTGAGGCAGTGAAACTAAACCAGAAATTATTTTCAACCTGCCGAGTTCGCGTCAAGATTAAATCCCGCGGAAATACGTAGACAACGGTTAAATGAAGTCAATGGAATCTGAACACAGTTGTAGTGCTAATCGCTGTACGATTACATACTTTTAAGCTGTCCACGACACAACTTAAACTTAGACACCTAAATTACCTATTCATAAACTGCGGGATCACTCTCGCGATATGAACATAAATTCCCCACTACATACCAACAAATATTCTGCAAAATGTAGTAAAATTATTCCGAGATCGTCAAAAACATACGAATAAAAAAAGCTGAAAGGAATGACAAACATTCTTTTGTAGAACATCATTCCGTTGATATTTGCACGAAGGTCGACAAGCTGCGTTTTTAGATTACATGTTTCTTAGTTGCTTGCTACTATTTAAAAAAAGAAAGGAAATAAAAGCTGGGAAAGCACACAAAGATAACGCCAATACCGTAAATTAATTTTATGCCAGCAGACAAGCGGATTACAGTCAATGATTGGGAAGCTTTAGTAAATCATCGGAGCACTTTTACATGGGCGCACACAATGCAGCTAATGCCACATTAAGGGCTCCATTTACTGAAAGTAAAGCTGAAATAAACAAAACTTTGTGCGTTATTATACTAAGCTATAATTAAAGAGCACTCACGTACCATTGTGGACAGATTAATTTTCGCCATTTGCGGGCTTCGCGATGATTCGCAAGCCTGAGCAGACGTGAAATCGTGACCGCCGGCCACCATTGCCACATGCTGCTGCCATGGACGGCAGCAGATTGAGACGATAGCTTACGCATTCAAATGAGCGCGCCATTCGAGCCACAAGATAGGCCAAAACGGTGTCCTCCTTCAAACTACCGCAATGAAAATAATGATAAAAAAATGACGAGGCTCATTTTCTAGGTGCCACTGTCGTGCGTGCGAAGCATTAAGTGCGCATGCCAGCCACTGGCGGCAGTGTACATCCAAGGAGCCAAAAGTAGCCGACAATAAGCCCACGGCTAGCCAAGAAACCACGACTAGCCAACATATATCCCAGTGTTTGTCAGCGTTAACCGGCGCCACTACCGTGCGACCGAGGAAAAAAAGAAACAATTTTTCCCTATCAGTAAATTACTTTTCTCAAAATGCAAAATAGGCACTCGGACAAAGCAGCAAAAAAAAAGAGAAAGGGGGGGGGGGGGGGAGACTCGTGCAAAGAATATTGCAATCCGGGCATTTTCCAAACCCTTCACTGTGCAGTATACTCCAGTCTAAAGTCTGAGGCCAACTACATGTATACACTGCAACAGTGCTGCAGATCTATATGATAAACATGCAGGGGCGTTTAGGCAGAATTTTTTTAGAAAAGAAAAAAAAAAGGGGGGGGGGGGCAAATGCGGCTGAGCGTCATTTTTTGCTTTACATGCTACGCCAAAAAAAATGGGGGAAGGAGGGCACTGGCCCTGTGTGTACCATCCCCTGTGTACGGTCCACTGTCGACATGGTCTGAACCTGTCCTTCCCGTAAGGAAGCCTGGGAGACCATATTATTCCACCACGAAGTAGAAGAGTCAAGCAGGGTCATCGGTCACGTCCTGACCGCCGTATTCATTTATCCAGCGGTTCCGGCCGACGATTCTGGCGCGGAAAACACGGAGGTTGTTTTTGACGCGTGCAAAAAAAATATGCTATTTCTTTCTTTCACTGCCTCCTCAACGGGACAACACGCTTGATATGCGACAAAAAGCAAGCACCAAAAGCCAAGAAAAATATGTCCGGGGCGACGACGCCTTGGCGTTCATAAACTAGCCGAGAGGTACTGGTGACAAATTTTCACGGTGTTTCCAATTACCACGTTTGACTCTAAGGGGTGCTCAAGACTCGGCTACTTTTCAGGAAGTCTAACCAAGTCAAAGTACCACCAAATATAGACTGAAATCTGTCACGTCACAACGACTCGGGCGGTGAGATTTCGGCTCGCAATCCGAGAATGAATCTCTCATGTCCACTTCCTCTTCTAATACTTATTCTAATTGCATATATATATATATATATATATATATATATATATATATATATATATATATATATCGTAAGCGAGAAAATATGCGCTTATATCAGAATGGAGATGGTCCTCGGCCACGTCTTTAACGTCGTCGTCGGTCCTGCGGCCCCAGCAGACATCGACTTTCCATTGGGGCACAGTTTACACGGTCACTTGCCTTCGATTCACGTTTGGAAACCTAGTTGCATTCCATTACCCCCAAGACATCTACCGAGTTTCGATCGTCCATTCAGTGCGTGCGCTGCTCAAATATTTTGTTCCTTCCTTTCATTCTTTATTTTTCGTCAGCAGTTCCACCTGATTGGTTTCCACCATTCCGCGTGCGCTGACCAGAAAGTATACTAACCAACTGGTACCGGATCCATTCCCACGGCAGGGGGAGTTTGATGGCGATGCACACAAGTGGTGAAAAGGAGTATGTGGTGTACTGGCGATGAAAGTAAACTTATACGCTAAGACAAAACTGGGGGCAGTTCCTACAACGCGCCGTGAAATGCCTCGGCCGACAAATGACGCCTGAGAAGAATGACTCTTTAGAACTTCTGCCTATAGTTCATTTTTTTTCCCACTACGTATCTTTCATCAGTGTGCATGACAACGCTTGAGCCCAACCTACGCTAAATGCATCGGCTGCGGAAACATCGCGATAAACTTTATTTCCGCTGCCATTCATGTCGCATCTCCAGTTGTGACAGGATTGCAATGCGCTGCCCATTGGAGATTTTGATTTTATAATTCTGCGTAAAACAACTTTTTTCTCGGACACCTAACCCACCTTCAGGCATTAAAAACTGCGCCTGGAGAACTCTTAACCACCCTTTCCCCTCTTCCCTGACCCCCTCCCCCTTCCTTCTCCACACACGCAATGATACCAGTTAACCCCGTTCTTTACTGAGCATCGAATAAATAGGGCCCACAGTTTGTCCCCTTTTCGTTTGTTTTTGTTGCGTACAAGTGACTTTATTTCGACCGTTTTCTCACCATTGCAAGAGATAGCTTAAAGCTTCGGTTGAATATGAATTACAAAGAGAAAGAATAATAGCAACAAAACCCATTCAAGAAATTACGACAATCACAAGTCTGTAAATACGTGGGTGGGGCAATATGGAGCCATCTGCTCTAGGATGCATCTCCAATAGAAGTTTCAACGCAAGCACCCATGTGAAAAGTCATTTTCCCCGTCAACCAAGTGGCCTTCTCCCTATCAGGCCATTCATTGCGGAAAAGACAGCTTACAAGGCAGTGAACATGTGCTCTTTACAATACGGTTAATATGAACATGTGGTCTCTCTACATAATGATTAACCCTTGAAAACGGCTTGTTCTCACTGTTCGATACTCACGCTCTAGCAGGTTATAAGGACGCGCCACAAGAACAGTGAAGCAATGAGGCTTAGCAGAGTGCTACGTTGCAGCTATAGTTGGTGCGCCGCAGGTCGCGGGATCGAATCCCGACTGTGGCGGCTGCATTTCCGATGGAGGCGGAAATGTCGTAGGCCCGTGTGCTCAGATTTGGGTGCACGTTAAAGAACCCCAGGTGGTCGAAATTTCCGGAGCCCTCCACTACGGCGTCTCTTATAATCATATGGTGGTTTTGGGACGTTAAACCCCACATATCAATAATCATCAGCTATAGTTGGTGCGTAGCACGATAGGGAATAATGACGCTAACTTCACCACGCGCTCGCGTGGCCAGTATTACTTTGTGGCCGACAGTGCATTAAGTCAAACGGCCAATCGACTGCCCCAGGCCACAGCGGAAGGCAACCGCGCAATACCCGTATAATATCGCGTGGCTGCAGAACTTAATCTATTCGTACGAACAAACGCTCGCCCGCACCTCTGACCGTCGACGCGCTGAGCGGCGTAGACCGCGCCCCGGGTCCGATGGAGCCCAGGGTCCTGTTGACAGCACCCACCGGAGTCGCGCAGTCTGCGACAGAAAGAGAAATACGGTTACATTACAATGTCTCAATACAAAACATATCTGGTCAAATAGCTTCATCTTGGGTTCCACGATGGTCGGTACTCGAAGCCCCGACCATTTGACCACCTAGGGCATCGAGGCGGCGACATCTGAAGTGTACAGGAACTCCACTCATGAACCTCCCATGTGGTGACATGTCGATAATACCGCACTGCAGTACAAGGACTCGAGCACCAACCCTTCCATGTGAGTAGGGTATCGAACCTGTGATATCTTAAGTATACATATGTGGACTCAAACCACAAATCTTCCAAGAATGTAGAGTACTAAAGACGACGGGAATGAGCAAGTGAACCAACGATGTGGGGGTGCCGACACCCCCTGTAATGTTGTTTGCGCTGCGTGGCGCACGTGTCTCGCCCAAAAGCCGCATTTCGCGTTACAACCACCGGGCGGTAGGTGGCGTTGTGTTCACGAGTGGTGAACACAACGGTGATATGGGATGGACATCATTTGAGGGCTAGGAAGCTAGGAGCAAGATAAAATTTGAGAAGCGATTGAGAGAAATGGGGGAGGAGCGTTGGGCTAGGAAGGTTTTCAGCTACTTGTAGATGAAGAATGTCGATACAAAATGGAGGAAGCGAACCTGGAAATTGACTGGTAAATACTTAGAAAACAGCAGGTGACCAAACCAAAAAGAACTATCGGTTAAGAAGAAAGTGAAGGAAACGGAGACTGACATGTGGAGAATTGGCATGATTACGAAGTCCGCACTAGAGATCTATCGAACTTTTAAGCAGGAAATTGCCAAAGAAAGGATCTATGATAATACTCGGGGTAGTTCTCTACTGTTTGAGGCCAGGACGGGAGTATTGCGAACCAAGACATATCGGGCCAAATACGAAGGGGTAGACACGGTATGCAGTGCGTGTGGAGAGGAAGAAGAAACTGCCGAACACCTGATAATGTTCTGTAAAGGGCTTCACCCTATAGTTCAGGTTGATGGCGCAGAGTTTTTCAAAGGACTGGGGTTTAGGGACAGGGAGGGTAAAATAGACTTTAACCGGGTAGAATTAACTAGAAAGAGGTTATCTGATTGGTGGCTAAAGTCAAGGCACGGGTGAAAATAGACCATTCACTGCAAAGCGCGAATCCTCAACCTCACTATTTAAGGGAAAAAAATAAATCTAATTTTTGGTTCATTAAGTATTACGGCTTGGTGGCGCTAGCCACCTCCCGATCTAAAGGGTACAGCCATATCCATCCATCCATCCATCGTGATCACCACCATCATCATAATGTAGCACCGGTGGTGACCCCTGGCGGAAGGCAAGCCTTGGTGCGGGCGAGAGTTGAGCGAGTCTCTTCTGCGCGTGGCGGTTGCCGCGAAAGATTGTCTCTAGCGTGGGTCCCCGGTGCTCGGCTCCGCGGGCTCCGCGTCGGGGGCCCTTGTGGTAAGTCAAGCGTTGGCGCGCCGCCTTGGGTGTGTTATTGTGTTTGTCGTGTTATTGTGTTTGTCGTGGAGTGTATGGTAATTGTGTGCGGATGCCCTAGCGTGTTGATAACGAGTGATGTATCAATTTGGCGGGCGATATAGTCGTTCAAAAGTAGTTAAATAAATATGTGTGTTTGGTTTCTCGCTCGCCGATTCGAGACCCCACAACGCTTAGGATAGTTGGACAACTTTGGCAGGACTTTCTGATTTATCAGCACAAAAAAGCAAAGGAGCGTTTATTATTATTATTATTATTATTATTATTATTATTATTATTATTATTATTATTATTATTATTATTATTATTATTATTATTATTATTATTATTATTATTATTATTATTACATCGCAGTAGAAAAAGCGGCCGGCAACATCATGTTCTGCAGAACAACGTCGTCCCATCCCCTGCCCGACCATTCGCATTGCTCCTCTTTAAGATCGCGTCAAACATATCATGCGAAGAATCTTCTTTCATTTCAATAGCGAACGCGGACGATCATTATAATGAAAAAGATAGGTGCTCGCGGAACATTTGGCGCGCAGCTCTATGTGTGTGGCTTGCTAACACATCAATTACACCGAATATAAAATGTCGACGTGTTTCAGGCTCGGTGGCTGTGCACAGAGTCATCGATCACGTCGATCGGTTATACGCAGCGCTGCGCAAACAGCGCAAGCTTCATCAAACACTGCTTTGGAATCTGGGACAGGCAATATGCAACATTCTGAAGAAGGCGCAAACCCAGTAGTGGGCTTCACGTATCGGCTCTTGAAAGCAGGCGCTGCCACATTCTACGTGTTCTTCGTTTTATTGTAATAATCGCATTTTCTGCGTCGGGTGTAGAACATGTTGCGAGAACTTTATACACACGCGTTATCATAAAAGCGTGACATGTTGAAGAATATTGAAGGCGATTGAAGTTATCGACATAGTTTGCGTAGGCCTAATACCATTGACGCACAGAAAAATTACAAGTATCTTTGCCATCTTATATACGGAAACAAGGGCAAAGACGGGCACTGAATGAACAAACTGGTACAAAGGGAAGCTTTAAGTGAGGAAACTACGTCCCGATATAGCAGTGGTTCCCGGCCACTTGTGTGTGTGTTTTTTTTTTACACCCCTTGTATACCCGTAAAGTGATGGGGTGACCCTTGCAGTGAGATAAAAGAGGCGGGCTTATAAGTTAACTCATATATGCAGCGTGAAATAGGTGCTTGCTATTTTTCCGTGACAAATAATGGTACAACTAAGGTGCCACACCAACTCTATCTCAATAGATTGCCAATAAGTGGAGCGGTCTGCAGCCACACTCAACCTGTCTCTAGCTACTCTTGATATTGAAATATTTAAGCCTAGAAGAAGCGTGCTCACGCGCGCATTTCGCAGAAAAGTGTGACAAAAATTGAACGACCATCTCTCGGAGGAGGAGTAACACAAACCGGCTCCACCGCACTGCAGAGATGTTACGTTGTAAAGCAAACCAAAGATAGAAGAGAAATGTGCCCCCGATTTTTATTAGGGGCGAAGCTCCTTAGGGCGTGGGCTGTGCGTCCCCTGTAGCCTGTATGTAGCCACCTCTAGTTTAGTTCTTGCAGTGTTCACTAGATGGCGGTACCGTCCCCTGTATGTAGCCACCTCTAGTTTAGTTCTTGCAGTGTTCACTAGATGGCGGTACCGTCTCCTGTATGTAGCCACCTCTCGTTTAGTTCTTGTAGTGTTTACTAGATGGTGGTACTTGTAGCTGATGATGAAAAGATGCAAGATGTTATAAACTAGAAAGCGGTACTTGTAGTTGATGAAAGACGCGATATCTTATAAAATAGGAATGATGTCACATATGGCGCGTGTCATTGGTTGAAGGCAATCGTTCGATTTAGTGCGGCGACGTACGCTAGGGGGAGCGATGTAATAAAATCGAGTGGGCAAAATGCACAGAGGATTCATGGTTTACCAGGTTTACCTCCGGAGCTTCGCCCACTCATGATCATTCACTTCGTGGATATGGCGGAATTTTTTTAGCTGGGCTTCACGGACCCATCAAAAATGATTTCGCGGACCTTTTTTTTTTTCACTTGAGAACCACTTTCGCACGGCAAAACAAGATGCTCGAGAATATCTTTTTTTTTTTCCTACTTGGGCTCTTTGAGGTACATGCATGCAAGTCACATGTATAGTGACTTTTTCTTTCTTTTTTTTTTATTTTAGTTTTACATTTCCGCTACCCGCATTGTCCTGCTATAGCGTAGCCCCGTATTCGTTAAACCACTACGGCGCGTGCATACCATTTTGGTTTAGTTCATATACATTGCTTAAGTGGTATTACCTTGAAGATACAATGCGGTTACGTACTGCTGCATAATGCGTATGCCACAGGCTGTTTCACACGATTCGGAATCAATATAGCAGCACTGCATCGAACAGGTTGGAGCGATGTAGAGCGCATAAAGTGGATGTTCATTTATTCAATACTGCCAGTAACCCTTTTGTTGCCACGGCAGGAGTGGTTAGAGTGCAGTCAACGTTACATTTATTACAAAGTAATGTAATGTTAGAACTACAAAATAACGATAAAATACATAACCGTCAACAAAAATTATCAATGAGCAGTAAATTCTGAGTTACTGATAGCAAATAGCAAATCACACAATCATAAAAAAAGTGCATTACAATGAACATTCAATAACAAGTGAATCCCTTTCCGGTGACAAAGCATACCCAGCGATCAAAAGCAGGGAACAATAAACGACAAAAAGAGCCGGATGTTTATATGTTCACCACCAGATTTGGTTCTGCTCACACGTGACTAACTCCAATGTTATGACGACATGACCCGTACGTTAGTAACTGGTGTTTCGCTTAAAGGCATTTATAGTAAATTATCTGGAGCGCTCTGATGCCTTTGCAGTCTTTTTTTTTCTTTTTCCGTAGAATATCAAGTTCAGGGCATCCACTTAATGCAAAAAAAAACAAAACAAAATCTTAATAAACTCAAGATTACATAAGCATGCTCTTTTAATAATAAGAACAACAAGCAAACAACACTCTTTCCTTGCATGTACGCACACTATTGAGATGGAAAGCCATAAGTTACCTTCCCAAGACAAATCCAGCTGTTTGCGCACTAACGATGACCAATACTGATAATAGGAGTGGGACGTGGTGTGCGCAATACGATAAAGAATGGTGCGAAGTGCGTCGGCCAGCCCTGCTTATCGGCGAATGACGATGAGATACCTCGAACAAGACATAGCAGTCTGCCCATTTCGTCAGTTTTTATTCACTTAATTTTTTTTTGTTGGAGGGGGGGGGGGAGGCGTGGTGTACTTATATATATCACGCACGGCACTTACAGATTCAAATATGACGATTTAGGGCAAAGTGATGCACCTATTTTCGTTTCCATAGCCTTCCGTTCGAGTGAAATCAGCATATAATAACGACTCGAACGCGGAGATCAGAGCCAACGTTACCCATAGACACCAGGTTCGTCGTGGCATGAAGTGTCTG